ACTCTTACAATACTTTGATGAGCTTCGTCACAGTGATAATTGATACATTCATGCAATACAGTGCGCGTCAATTGTATATGCCACCCCCTGATTTTTTCAGTTTTCTGACTTATTTGGAAATTTCGTAAATCGGCATAGCAACCATCGTTTTCGGCGTGTCGGAAAACTAAGAATGGTGTTGTTTGATTTTGGTTAACGCGTTGATTTCAATTGCTCTGTTCTTTTGAAGAAAATGGGCCGCGTCAATTTGCTTATGCTTGCGAACTACTGCAAAATTAAAGTTGTTTCAAGCATGAGTACCTACTACCCGTCTGGTACCCATCACTGAACTCGATCGAAGTTTTCTTATCAAGGCGATGCAATGATGGCCCATGCCACCACTTCGGTGTCCCGTTCAAGTTACAACTGGCCCATGTCATCATTTTCGCTCGCTCGGTACGAAAATTTTTCCAGAGAGAATCCGACAAAGTTCGGCGATGGGTACTACGCGGATTGTGAGTGCAACTCATATTCTCTCTGAACAGAGACTTTGTGAGCGTGAACGCTTCGAGCTTCGCGGGAGCCGAGACCACAAAAAAGTTGACCACGGATTCGAAGCGGGGAAAATGAGAATTTAAGAGCTCCTTGAGCACTTCAATTTCCCCAGTTTTGCCTGGATACACTCCTCGATGAGTTCTACAATAAGCAGCAGGAGCGATCGCAAGAGTGAGCACACACTTTCTCTGATAAAGCGTTTTCATGCTGCTACCGTCCAGTATTAGGGCTAATATTCCGAACTAATTAGTTATAAATGCTCCACCATTTGTGTGCATTGCATAAGTCGAGGATTTCCTCATTTGTATTACATGCACACCGTAGCTGAATAGCGGTTAGAGACATGTAAATTACCGAAGAAATTCTAGATTTATGAGCAATTGCGCGGGCCCATTCTGCTTCAAAGAAGCAGAGCAGTTTAAATTCCACGCATAATCATAATGCAAAACATACAGCCAGTTTGTTTTCCCGACACGGCCGAACAGACAGGTTTTTTGCTATGCCGACTCACGAAATTTCCAAATAAGTCAGAAAACGGAAAAAATCAGGGGGTGGCATATACAATTGACGCGCACTGTATAGCAAGTTGAATTATTACAATACTACCTTACCTACCAGTAAAGCCCAATGAGCTCCGTGCCCATGTCGCAGAGCTGGTTCGTAATTTTTCGCACAGTCGTAAGCAACAAGCACAGCAGCACCAGAATCGATCAGGTTGACTAATAAGGAAGCGTCCGGTAACGAGGTCACCGAGGAGTGCATTGGCCACAATGAGACCGCCAACTGACGGAGCCATTCAGCTGAAAATAGAATTTTTGAATTGTTTCTACAGCCACCGACATTGCTTGAATGCAAGGTCTGCGGAGTGAACCTATTCCAGCGGAACTATTGATATTGGTTGCAGAAAGAAAGTCTCTTATACTCTGGCGACAGCGTGCACCATGTGTGGCCCACATGACGTTGTCAAGCCATTTTTTTCGCGTATGCGCAGCTTCTCTTCCAATTCCTTTATATTCACTACATAAATCATACCATAGCATAAGTATGTATAAGCGGCGGTGTCCAAACCATGGAAGATGTACAGTGCGTACCAAAAGTATGTGGACACCCTAAAATTTTCCATTCTCTTAAAAACTGTTGACTTCTGTACCATGCGACCACCACCATTCTATTTCTCGTATGAGAAAACCTTAGAATTTTTCATTTCTCACCAATTTACATGCAGCTTTATTTTCATTTTTTTTAAATTTTTTCTTTGTTTTAATGGATGGAAAAACCTTGTGTCACTGCACCCCTGTGTCAAAAGTATGTGGACACTTTTTCGAAAAATGGCAATATCTTCAGAATCTAAAATTGGTAGGCCTACCAAGGCTACTGCAACACGGTTGCACTTTCGTTGAAGGGCCTACTAGTGCACACACAAAGCAGCACAAGAAAGCATGAAAGTTTAAAACTATTTAAGCTAGCTGCCGCTAGTGACGTTTTCCATTGGGGCAGGGGACAACGCAATCAGAAAAAGAGAAAGCACGGACATCAACAGATCCCTGTTTCAGAAAAAAACAAGCCGCTTACATCGAAGTCTTATTCAACGTTATGGTAGTGCTTATCAAATCGGCTCCCAGACAATACCTAACCATTTGGGCGCGGCCGCGGCGAACGCGGCCGAGTTGATAGGTGCCCGCGAACTCAGCACAGCACAGTTCGCGGGCACCTCGAGTGCGTTTTCAACGGTTCGCGGGCACAATCGACTCGGCCGCGTTCGCCGCGGCCGCGCCCAAATGGTTAGGTATTGTCTGGGAGCCAAAGCAGTATTGAAAGAAGCGTTTCTTGGAAAATCTAGTCGATCATGTGAAGCTTGCTAACCTGAGAACATCTCCCCCTTATTGGTGAATCCTAGCTTCTTGGCAGTATCAAATATTTCCGAAGTGCTCTTTTTTTCCAAGTCAAGAAGCTGCGCCGCCATAGAAAGTGCAACCAACCCACATCTGAAAATATCATCTAATATATTGGGTTGGAAAGAAAGTCCTGCAACGCTTTTTCAATTAGTGATTTTAATTCTATCTTTTTTGGTTACAACTCCTGACCGGTCTTATCTATATACCATGAGTCTCCATCGCTCAGAAAATTTCTTGATGCTCCTTTTGCCAAAACCCAGCGGAGTGCGGGTCGAGAAAGGAGGCGACCTCACTTTCGAGTTGGAGTTGATCGTCTGATTATTTCGTTATAAAGATGATGATTAAAGGTCCAGGATAGGTAGTCATTTACAGCTCGACCAGGGGATTACGCTAAGAGAGGAAAGAAATCTTGCCGCAACTCCAGAATTTCTTACCGGGCTCATTTCGGATCATGGTGATTCGCAATGTCATGAAAGAAATGAATATTGTCGCGGTACGAGGGCTCTTGACGAGCTACCTCGGCCAGCTTCTGGTACTCCACAACCTAGGCCACTGCCTACACAATGGTGCCCATAACGAAGGGTATGTAGTGGAGCTTCTGTAAGAGCCCTACCTGTAATGGAGTGTGAGGGACGCTGCTGGCTTCTTATAAAAATATCAAAAGATCGGAAGCGCTGGTAAAGGTGAAACACGCTGTAGCGCTGAACGGCATGCCATTAGAAGCTATTGCAGATAGTGTCAGTCGTTGACACGAATCCATGGTTTTGTAGACATTTGTACTAGACAGTGACTCGGAGTACGGATTTGCTAGTGGTCGAGATTTTTTGAATTTTCTTGGATAACTACTGACTGCAGAACTTATATCCACCTCGTGGATTGAAGCCTTGAGAATGCTCTATCATTTGGTAGTCATAAATGTTACCTATGAATTTTTTTTCAGAAAAAAAGAAATATTTTAGAAAGGGTGTTGCAGAACTTTCTTTCCAACCTAATATTTATCAGAAGGCGTTTCTGTAGTGATTAGATACGTCGAAGATTGTGCTGCTATTAGCTATGCTCGATATCCAAAAGTTGGGGTAGGTGTGTCATCGGAAATGACGTGGCCATCGCCGCACTTGATAAAAGCTATGTGGATAAGCTGCTTCCAACATATATCGCTAGATATCAGCAAAGCATGCTGGCAACAGCTTATCAACGCATCTTCTATCAAGTGCACGTCACTTGCGGTGCCACACCTACCCCAACTCACGGATATCGACTTTAAGTTGGAGGGAAAAAGGTGGGTAAACCACGCAGCATGTGACAAAAGTTGAAGTGTGTGATATCAGGGTGAGTGGCTCACTCACCTCTGAACCCTCCTTTCCCCAAGGGCTTAGTCCTGATGGTTACGGGGCAGTGGTCAACCAAGCGCGTGAGAGTCCAGACAGAAAAGCACATACTTTCTGCTTTCTAGGACTAAGCCTTTTGAAGGAAGGAAAGAAAGCAGAGATGCTGTAATAGTGTGCATGTGCGAGAGTGCCCAGAGAACACTACAAAACGCTGAATCACCAAGCCTTTCGGTTGACCGCTGCCCTTGGACGAGTCCTGATAGTGCACCCAATGCAAGGGCGCAGACAAGCAGAAAATGGGCGCCAAATCGCAGGCCTCAAAAATAAATGTCATATTCGTAATCAGGACACCAAATAACCCCTATGTACAAGTTTACACCGAATTTGGTGAAAACAGCCGTGGCGCCAAATGGCGCCAGCATCAAAAATGAATGTCATATTCGTAATCAGGGCATCGAATTACCCCTATAGGCAAAGTTTCGACGAAAAATAAAATTTTGAGATTTTGGGGCAGTAATGGTGGAATAGTGCCAATTTTTTGCAAAAAAAAGCTCTAGAAGGTAAGAACCAAGCGCCGTTTTTTTCACACATAATTTACAGAAGTGACATAATACTGATATTATGGTAAGAAAAAAAAACTTACTGCGGTCCATTTTGAATGATGGGCTGAACTGGTAGTATTCTCACTTGAGCTCCTGGTAAGGGCGCTTCAGCATCCTGAGCATGTCGCGACAACACTTCCTCTATCCGCAAACGAACCAAAGTTGAACCAGCCTGCAGCCCATCCATGATCTCTTGGTTTTTTTTGTGAGTCAGCTACGGCATCTGCAAGGAATTGACTAGAATTCATGTTTTTCCAAAATATTAATTGGATATTACTGGCCGTCTCAAGGGAACATTTGATCGATTAACAAATAAACGAATCATTGAACAGTCTCGTCCTGAGAGCCTAGCCTGACTTGAAAGAATAACGCGCTCCGCTCAAACTGATCTGCAGGACAACGGGTACGGTAGCTAAATCCAATATCGCCCCGCGTTGAATTCATTTTTGCTCGGTTGGTTTCGTCGTTCCGGTCTTCTGTGGTCGTTTACTGGAGATTTTCGATCAGTTTCAGAGCCTATCACGGTGATGAGAAGGCCAAGCGATCGTCGTAGTTATATCGCTCAGCCAATTGAGCGTTCTTCTGAAAGGTAGGTTCAACGCCTAACTGGTTTCTTTTTGCCCCTTCACCTCTGCTGACGTTCTAATATCACACCTCTGGGGATGGAGCAAATGTAGATGCAAGAGGGTACTAAGGTTTTCACAAGGTGGACCCCTGGGTTGGGTGAGTCACCTCCTCGTGCAAGAAAGGAACAGAGGGAACAAAAATAGCAAAGACGTGTTTGCCGTGGTTTTGATTGCCTCAGGTATTCTGCGCTGCGATGCCTTCACACCCTCTATAGCAATCCAGTGAGAACATTCGTACTGTGAACAGCTCGAATCCAGAATTGGTCCTGTGGGTGACTGACAATTAGTGAGGAAGGGTGTCGGGGCGCATGCATAGTCGGTCGTCCGACAGCAACGATCGTAAGGCCCTGTTCAGAGATGTCCGCCGGCGCGAAAAAACGCACAGGCGAAAATCTCCGCCAAGATTTAGATACGCATCGACTGAGAAATTGTGAAACGCGTAAGCGAAACGTCCGGAGCAGGCGAATTTCAGTCAAGAGTTTGATATGTATCGACTGTGAGAAACGCACAGGCGGAAAATCGCGTGAGCGAAGCGTTCGTAAGTCGATGCGTATGATACTCATTTTCGTCGATCCTCCCACTTCACGATTCGCCTGTGCGTCTTCGTTCAGTCGATACATATTTCACATTGTTTCGCCTATGCGTTTTTTCGCGCAAGCGGACATCTCTGAACAGGGCCTAACGGTCGCACAGCGTTAGATACGTATCGACCGTCAAATACTCAGGCAAGTCTGACGATCGATAGGCATCTAATGGTGTGCGACAGTAACGATCGTTGCTGTCGTACGACTGTTCATGCATGTGCCCTGAATGGCGGTTTCATAATCGCAACGTATCGATCCAATTGAAAGTGTCGGAGAATCGAACCTTTGATACGCATTAATGCTCTGAGATCGTTACGAGTGACGACTGACCATGAAGGGGGAGGGGTTTTATCCAGTAAATGGGGGACATGTGGGGCGATAGCCCATTTTGCCTGAGCAATTCATTCGTTCCAGGCCCTCATGTCCTTGGGGAGTTATACAAATGCCCATGGTGGGTGACATTAGGACTAAGCCCAAGAGAAAGGCAACGTCAGGGAGAACACGACGAAACACATTGAGCACCTCCTCCCTTAGAATTCCCTCTTCTCTTTGAGGCTCAGTCCCAAGCACAGTAATTGGCTCACTTGAATGCTCCTCCTCCCCCCACCCCCAAAGGCAATCCTACTCTACGGAACTATATTCGTACTCCTACATACATTCAGATTTCATAGAAAGAGACTAACCAGGAAAGGCATTCAACTTCCCATGGAACTTTGAGTTGAGACCCAGATATATCGATAGAGCTTCAAACGCTGATTACAAATATGGAAACTAAAACTGCAAAATGAACCTGCCAAGGAAGTTGTGAGCAGTCAAAAGTTGGGCTAAAGTAAAGCGTTGCATATGAACCGTGCTGGATCCCAGGCTTTCAGAGTCTCCGCGGAATAGTGGTAATGCCCTCGCTCTTCACCCGGAAGGCCATGAGTTCTTTTCCCGTCCGAATGGGAATTCTGAGAGCACTAATGCTTCTCCACGGCGAGTTTGAAAGCCTGGAGGTTAGCACGGTTAATACGTAACGCTTTATAGCACTTTCACCGTTCACAACTTCCTTGGCATTTGCAGTTTTGTTTTCCACATTTGTATTCGTTTGAAGCTCTGTCGGTGTATTTGGGTCTCAATTCAAAGTTTCATGGAAAGTTGAATGCCTTCCCTGGTTAAGTGAAGTGGTCATTGAAAGTAGCCACGTATTTTTGGGTAACTTTTACCTTCAGGCACTCGGGCCGGCGCCGTTCCCGTGATTCCCGAGATCGTCGTGATCACAATAGAAGGCCGTCTACGAAATACGAACATCATGAACTCCATCCAGTTGATATGGTATCTTTAAAAGTACTACAGTCGATATACGAAAGTTGGGGTAGGCGTGTCACCGGAAGTGACGTGCACTTGATAGAAGTTGCGTGGATAAGCTGTTGCCAGCATGCTTTGCTGATAGCCAGCGATGTATGTTGGAAGCAGCTTATCCACATAGTTTCTATCAAGTGCACGTCACTTCCGGTGACACACCTACCCCAACTTTCCGATATCGAGTATAGCGTAAGTGACGCTATTGCAAGATGGTGGGGGCCATTACGACGGCTACGCATTTAGCGCATTACACACACATCCCGCGCAATGCAGGCTGCATGGGACAGCAGGGATATGTGGTTTACGGACTACTTGATTTTCCTCAATGGTCCTGCCGCGATGGCTAGAGCACAGACGATTAGAGAACGGGTGAATGCCCTAGGACTAAGCCTTGGAGAGGAGAGGGACCCACGAGAGAACGCAGAGGCGGTTAAAGGGCTGAGTTCAAGTAGTCCGTCGACCAGGGACATATGTGCCTCGCACTCAATTCCAAGATTTTTCTAATGTTTTTAATGATTTGTTTTTTTTTTTTTGAAACGCATCTAATCATAAATATTTTACGATTTGGCGGCGGCCGCGGCGAGCGCGGACGACTCGGTATTCGAGCTGCGCGGGTAAATTTGAAAACGCTCACCACCATAGTTCGTCGGCACTGCGGACTCGTCCGCGCTCGCCGCGGCCACGCCTGAAATCGTGAAGAAAGTGGGGGAGCTCATAAACGACGTGCTCTACAAAATGGTTTGATAATGGTTTGATATACGTAACTTTAGTGGATATTTCTGAGCCTCTTGTAATGATCGGTTCGCTCAATTTCTGTTTCTTTCGTCGTGTAATAAAAAAATGGAAGAAGTAGAATTCTATGAGTGGCAAGATGTGTGATTTCACCGAAGAATCAAACAAGAAATGATCAGATTGTCCATTGCAGTGAGAGCTAATAAGTTTCGCTTTCGGCCATTTCACATCATTTATGTCAAAATTTCTCTTCCCTACGTCTGGATAATTTCTACCCGTTGATCATTGCTGAAATGCTTTCGCAGCGTTCATGCTCTAAGTTTACCATTCAATTACGCGTATGTGAGGTTCGGGAGCTTCACTGGAGAAATTGCGCCATCTCCTCGTGGCCACAAACGCCAAATGCGCGATATCGCCACTGTGACAGGGGTACCCGTCAGGAGCCCTCCCCCGCGGCGAGAAGGCAAGAACGCATTTGGGTCAGCGGACGAGTCGCAGCGCGTACCGTGCGACAAGGGACCTAATATAGTAAATTCCATTTACCTAATGCTAAATCGCTCAAGTACGCGTTGCGAATCGTCTGGTGACCCATCTGCGTCTCTGCCTTCTCGTCACGCGACGGGCCTTCTGTTGGGTACGCATGCGACACTGCGGCAAATATTCCCTTTTCGTTATAAGCCTGTTTGAGGATTACAGCTTTGGGAGATAGAGGCAGATGCCGAGGTGCGTGGAAATTCCCATTTACCCTGTGTTCCTCTCCTTTTCACTCAGTCTCGTAGGATGCTTCTCCTCCCCTCCCCCCCCCCTTTGCGATAGCGCCGATTAGTGTAGCTAGCTCGTTTGGCTATTGGTACATAATGGACATTCTGTTGATTGATCGTTTGAAGGGTTAAGTTTTATTTCAGCAAATATGTTATGGATCGGATGATGAGGATTTAACCCGAGGGCATCATGCGAATTCAGATCGTGATCCTCGCTATGATCACATCAGGAAAGCAGTTGAGCGGTAGGTATGCTGCTAAATAAGGTGTTTGGTTGTGCCGTTGTTCATCCATACGCTGCTGCACAGCACTCATGACCAAGAATTCATTTTTACCTTTTTTTTTGTGTACTGGCAGCTGCTTTAACGCCGCAGTTCGCCTTGAGAATGTATCAGAACGCTGAATGTAGCACTACTGAAAAACTACGTTTGCATGTGTCGACTTTATTTCACGTAATGTTAATACAAACCTTCTTTAAAGTTTGTACGCTTTTCATTGCAATGAATACCTTTAGTGGTGGTGCACCAGATGAACCATTACTTCCTCCAGAGGACCATGTACGAGAGGGCATTGTGTTCGAATATCTCAATTACTACGAGGTAAGCTGCGTTTCGAGCGTCTTCGACTTTCATATTTGTTTTGAGATATACTGTCATTCGATATACTTTTCACTTGTGGTAGTGCCCAAGGTATACTAAGCATTTCTTTTTCAAAAAAAAAAAATTTGAAATCAACCCAGAAGTTCGTACGTAACATTCCGGCTAACAAAGAGGTCCCTAAAGGAGAAGTAACAGTAAGCAGGTGTCAAATTTAGACCACTTGCTAGCGATCTGACGCTTGCCTTGCTGGCCGAAACGGTTGAAAAAGGAAATTCCAAAAAAAGTCGATTTCAAAATCACTGACTGATCTCCGACGTTCAGAAGGTATAGTCGCTCTGCCCAGAAGGACGTGAAAGATTGTATCTGTGACTCATACGCAATCCCCTTTGAGAGCTGACTATGTACAATCTGGTACTGGGCCGATATGTATTATAGTAGTGACCTCATTACAGTGACCGATGGACAACCTAAATTCTGAAAGCAACACGCCATTGTTGTGGTCATACAGCGAGAGTATCAACCCTGATTATCTGACGGTAGAAGGTGTTATGAATGTTGCGGGCAACCACTCCACTTCATCAGTACGAGAGGGTACTTCAGGAGGTCCGCAGCAGATTTACAATCAAAATCCACTAAATTTTACAAGAACTCATTGTTGACGTCTGCGCCAAAACATCAAAGAGGCGGAGCTAGTGGTCAGCGATTCGAGGCGTGCCTGTGGTGTATTTGTCCCAGCCCAATCTCCCTGAGAAAGCTATCGAATGGCAAATGGATCCCGAGAAAATCCCTTACTGTGTCAGAGTCCGCGATCCGCTTCGCGCGATTTTCGCGATTTTCGCGAAACCTGCGATGGATCACAGGAGTTGGAAGTGCCCGATGAATACTGCGAGGTGTTGTTTAATCCTGCTGCGAATTCTGCTTGGCAGTAAAGATTGGAAGACGAATGTTTGTGGTTCTACTTGTTTCATGTTCAATGTCTATTAGTTCATTGAAATGCTCTTGAATCGTTCCTATTTTTTTCAGGAATCAAACCAAACCAATCACAAAAATTGCAAGTGCCCCATTTGAACAATTGAAACACTGGATATGAAACAAGTGGAATCATGAGCAGTCTCCATTAAACCATAACCATCAAGCAGAAGTGACGGCGGGATTGGAGAACACCTTGCAGTATGGATGGGGCACTTGTGATTTCCGTGACCCGTCGCGCAAATCGCGAAAATCGCGCAAAGCGCAATCGCGACTCTAACATCAGCCTTAGTCTAACAAATTCAATGTTCAATCGGTGTGGACCTATATTGAAAAAAATCACAATTTGATGCAACGCCGTTGGAAAGTTCGATTGAGCCATCAGTGAAGAGCAAGAAACGCGCGAACATCAAGATCTAATGCTCTCGAGTGTACAAATATATGAAGGAAATGAACTTGAAATGGTAGCGAACGACTGAAACTACGAGCGTTGAACCTATGTGGACGAAAATATGAGGCATGAAAAATATGAATGAATGGTAAACTGGTTGAATAGATGGACTGAATTTCCTTTGCTATGCTGAGAAGTACGTAAGATCTGATGGGGATATCTTGGAAAGTGGCTCCTTATCCATACTCATGGGTAATACAGTTCCGCTAAAAAGAAGCTATTCTTTCCTCCCAATCGTCGCATTTCAGTTTCTACGAAATTGGATTGATGAATGCAACAGGAATTCTCTTGAGAGAAATAAATCTGCTCTGCCTAAACGAGTCAACGAAACAATCACCCGTAAGTTGGTTATCAGTAATTGCCTTAAACTTCGTTTAACTGCTCATGCTGGATTTTTTCCCCATTAATCTGTACTTCTTTTTTCTTCACCCACCGTTACTGTCCACCTTCACACCCCTTTTGCGCTCTTTTTTTAGTTTGTAGTGTGGGCGATCCGATAAACTGCTCTAGAAATTACGTTTTGCTGCCTGGTGCTTTTCTATTTCAAGAAAATAAGTCTAATTGAACATGACACAATTACATGTGGGCGCGTCACCTTTCTCCTTCGTTTCGCTCCATATGTGCGACTGGACCAGATGTAAGTCGCGTTCGAAGTACTAAATCTTGCACCCTCACTTGCAAGAAATCGTCCGTCTAGAAATTAGAGCATAAGCTAAGCAAAACGCTTTTTCCGAAGCAGCTACTGTATCCGAGCACGTTAAGAAACGGATTTAAGTGAAGATGATTGATATGCTCTAGATCCGTCATCGTGAAAAGCAGGATAACTACGCTCATATTTTGCGTCATGTTAATATGATTTCCTGGCGGATAGCGACGTGTCGCCTCCCAAGTATCTCGCCCTTTCTGTTTCATGTTTGAAATGAGTTTATTGTCGGGACTGTTTACCTATGTGTCAGTTGTTCTGCGATTTGATTTGGAGTTGTTGCTATAGCTCATAGCATTCTAGCCGAAAAGAACTCTGCAAAAGGACATTAGCTCACCGAGATTCTTGATGCAACAAAAAAAATTGTGCACTCATTTGAAAATACCAAGTTTTCAAATGATTTATTTAAGCCACCACACCCGCTGAGAAGGCGCGCATCATCCTTCCAGCAGGTGTATTCGAAAGGGATGATCTTCTTCACTGCGACATGATTATTGGAGGGCTTCCACCTAGCGTATTTTTCGGAAGCGGATTTGGACATAAGTATGATTTGTTACCCTTGCTCTGTGTGTGTCCACTGTGACGCATTCTCTTTAAGCCCAGCCTAAGCCAGAGCAGCTGCAGCAAAGGATCTTGTAGATAAGTGTTTCCGCGTCGGACTGATCTCAGAAGTTCTACACACTGCCATTGGGAATCATCCATTTTTCAAAGAAGGTCAATTACAGTTTTGATTTTTTCTGTCCATGTGCTTTCCGAAATTATTGATTTCAAAATTTTTCGGAACATATTGCAATTGAAATCGCTTCAGTGAGAGTAGAGTTTTCTGTTCGATTTTCAGAGAGATCTTCCACGGAGAGACTATGATTTAGCTATGGATGCACTTATCAATCTAGATGAGAAGATCTCTGTAGGTAAGGTGATCTGGTTATGCATCGAGCGTATTTTTCGATAATTTCGCAATTATCAGTAGTTTTCAGCATTTTATCTCTGTAGTACATCTCTTGTATAAAATACAGTCGATGTTGAGAAACAAATCCTCTCCTTGAAGTTGTAGAGGTAACTCAAACTGGTGAACTCGCTCTACGTCTAAAAACGTCGAACTACGTCTAAAAATTGTCCTCTACTGCGCTCTCTCTCGTCTACGTTGCGATTCATAACATTGACCTCGCATGCTCCAACTTTCACCTCAGGTTCAGTGGTTCAAGGCAGCAATCACACACTGAGTTGGCCAGGAACATCGTTCTCGGCTCACGAATCTCTGTCTACGCACCGTCAAAAGATGAGATAGCCGCCGTCTGCGCTCTGGCCTTCCGCGCAAGAAGAACATGGAGAAAGTTCAAGCGGTGTAACTCATTTCAGGGCTACTCAAAAAAGATACCCCTATTACTTCTTATTTCTTTATTGCTATTTTTGGCTGCAGTCTGCCTAATCAATTATGCACAAAGATGCTGGATTGAGGGCAAAACATTTGTTGGTTTTGTTTACTTTGTTGAAAAAAAAAGTAGTTATCAAGAGTCTTGCTCTTAACTCAGAATCCTTATTTTCCACTTAGTCATAATTTGAAACAAAGTCGGTCAATATGCTGTTTATTGCATCTAGTTATTATTTAAGGGTTGAAGGGGAGTTTTGACACACCTCATCCAACTTTTAAATTTGAATCTTTTATTCCTAATTATTCATAAGTAATGAATAGAAAAAATATATTTCAGCTAGGCCTTGCTCCGGAAAATTCCTTCAAACAGATGATTCACTTTGCACAGGGCCAATCAGAATGATTTTAAGGGGGGTTCTGCTATTATGCTCGAAAAACTTGGAGTGGCTGTGTACTTTCGTGGAAGCAACACTAGGAAATTTCATCTCGAATGGTTTGGATGAAAAAAATCAATTAGGAACTCAGATGGTTCAGAATGCTGTTTTTTCTCTCCCTGGTTGCACGTGCGCGAGTGGAAGAGTGAGTGAAGAAGAGAATGATTCTAGAGTACAATTGTGTGCTTACGATTAGATCAGTGTTTTAAGGAGAGGGGCTAAAACGATGACCGGTGTTGTGCGTTCATTGAAGACTTTTTTCTCATATTTATAATAGTCGTTGACCTTTCAGTGATACGATCTTGCGAGCACATTGTTTTTCAAGGGTGGTGATGTATACGTCTCCCAATCACGGAAACAGTCAAATAAAATAAGCGCTGACACAGTGAGACGCGGTTGCGCGTCCCAATTTGCTCACCTCGTCTCACCCTTGTCATCCCTTTTTCTAGCAAATGCGCTTTTTCCCGAATTTGTTTGTCTCTCTTCTATGGATTACAACATAACATTATTGTGAACGACATAGGTCATTGGTATGGTCAAATATGCTCCAGTTTAGCAGAAGTTTTTCAAGCGCAGCGAAATTGGCAGCTCGGTTCATTCTCGTTTTCATCCTATTCTCATGACCATGCCAATAAAAAAGGGGTATGAAAGTAAATCATACCTAGAGGGCAACGAAGTATATACCGTTTTTGCACAGATCACATCCAAAAGACCTTACATCTACTACAGATAAAATGACTAAAATTTCCTTTTTCATTACCATTACGTGTTCTTCGCCCACCATATCCTCGATTACTTTCTATGCATTCAATATTACTGAAATGGTTTTGTAACACTCGTGCTTTCCAAAGTTATCATTCAAAATTCACGGGTGCGAGGTGCGGCGGCCGCGCTAGCAAAATCACCCCTGTCCCACACGGCAGAAAAGCTGAAACGCGCGCTCTCGTCAACATGTTAAGCAAACAACATGCCTTACTCGTTGGGCCCTTTTATTTGAAGGGCTAGAAGTGGGCAATAAGTATAGTCCATATCTCGATCGCTGTCTGAGTAGGCGCGTCTACAGAGTAGACGTGGTTGCCGGCACCTGGTAGAGGTCGCGCGAATAAGTTGTTCCCAGCATGTCTGGTTGATTTACAGCGAAGTATGTTGGAATGTTATCCACCCGACTTCTATCAAGTGCGGCGGCCGCCACGTCATTTCCGGGCTACGCTTCACGAGCGGCGATCGAGGAAGTGCGAAGTGTCCAGTTGTGATATTAATTGTCCTGCCCAAATGGTGTTTCTATTGCGGAACATATTTAATCTGTAAATAAGCTATGTGGACTTAAGGAACACCTGTTTTTTTTTGTTCGGTTGTTTGCGAAGTCCTGTCAATTATGACAGCAAATTTTTCTCATAACCCAGCCATTTTTGTGAAACATTCACAACGCTCACTGTGGCGCTGAGACAATAGATAATAAGTAGTACAAGTCAAATTTAATATTGCTTCATGTTTTTTGTTGATGCGCTGGAGACACTATTCCACCTTCCTTTGATTTTTCCAAGAAAGCTTTC